AAAGCCTTAAAAACTTTTAATTTTCATATTAACATCACCCTTTGTTTTTTACTATTCCCGGTTTGATTGAAAGTAGCCACTGTTATTTTTCTATAAATATGATAACCCCCTTCTTTAGCCCACAAACTATCGCCCAATAATTCTACCCAGTACTGGCAAAATAGCAGAGACAGTTATATTCAAATGTTTCTATCAATTTGTAAAGCAAAGTTATTCATCCCTATAAACCAATTTAAGTTTAGAAGGGGCCGTTTAAATTAAAATCACTTTTGAGGCCTACCGAGCACGTGACTAAAGGAACAACAGGAAGTCCGCGTGTTGTTCAACTAGATACTGAAAAAAACTTTTAGTAGAGTTTGATCATCCAGAAAATATTAGATACCTTTTTTTCATTACTAAATTATCCCTACATTGTAGAAAGTATATTACTAAAAATTGGACCTTGCTTTTACCAATTTTTTAAGGAACATACCCAACACATCCATACTTCAAGAGTTATATCACAATACCTTGACAAGACAGCAATCTTTGGCAGTTATAAATTAGTTCCGCGAATAGACACTGGTTCGATAGTGGTTGCCCTTCAAAGAACGTAATCATCGCCATTATTAAAAAATATAATAGACTATATGTTTAACGAATTGTCATTTAAATATGCCAGGCTCCCGGTGCACTAACATAGAGAAACGATTCCATCCCAGGAAAGTTATATAATTTGTCCTTCGTAATTGAAAAAAATAAAAGGCTTATTTAGATTTGTGCAGAGGTTTGTAATCTAGTCATCTTCAAATGTCTGGAGTAATTTTTAAAGCCAAAAACTTAGAAGAGTAAATGAATCGATAAAGTCAAGGTTTAAAAGCTTTCCACTTGTGATTAGGTTTAGCCTTAACTTTTTTTATTCCTCACTGGGCTTGGGCTAACTCTTAGGCTTAAGTTAATGAGCCTTCATTTGAAAACCTTACCCCAAAGCGTGTAGGTTTTCTGTGTTAAACTAGCTTAAGCAGCAATACTTGGAATCAATCTAGCATTTAAGCAATAATTAAGAAAAGAAAAGGGGGGATTGTTCCTGTAATATCCCTGTTTACACATGAATAAATAATTGAAATGGAAATGAAAGTAGCTTACCTAAGGTCGATAGTTATAAAAGAGTACTCAGGGTACATTAAGCTTGGGTTTTAGCCAACCTGTACGACGTTACATTTTCAATGCTACTCTGTGCATTACCATAAGGATTAAGGAGTGTTCTCTCTTCCTAGTTTTGACTTATCTTCTACTACTAGCTATGCTAGTACTCCATTCGGCATAATTTCTGAATACCATTTGGGTAGCTTTTGTTTGGGTATACTGATCAATATTGGACTAAGTAGCTCTCTGAAATTGTAACTGAATTAACACTTACTCAAGCTCTTTAGATTTGGATATCTTAGTTTTATATAAATCAAATAATTTTCTTTTTTTAAACTAAAAACCTTTGAATTGAACGAATGCTTACTAAATAAATGCTTGGGTTCGGTGCCATAGTAATTTCTCTTTGCCGGCTATCTATTTTGCAGGAAGTTAGTGAATCCGGCAGTAAGGCTCAAGTGAAGATTTCTGCTTTTGTGCTATGAAATGTTCGCCAATGTGATAATTTTGTAACCACGCGTCCCTGATTTGTGCAAAAAGTTCCTATTAAACATAGTAAACACTGTAAATGCTGTATCGCTTTCATTAACTCAACTGCAGCTTTCTTTGGTCTAAGAATACCAATTTCAACATTACTCGTGTTACTATCTACTAATCTTGAAATCTTTGATAAAGCCTTACCTACCTTATCGTAATTTGTCAAAGCTATGTGGTGGAGTTGGAGTTTTTTATAACATAAAAGTTGGTACTAGCAGCGATTGCTGCCTTGGTTCAGTTTAAAACAGGTAAAGAAATAGGTTCGACCTAAAGAGGTCTAGTCAATCAAAGACGATAATGCTAAAAGTATTAAAAAATAATTGAATCAATGGTACTACCCCCCCTCCCCCCATCGTAACGAGTGAGAATAAGTTCGCATTATTGGAATTCGTTAAAGATGCTCATGTATTTTTCTTACCTTTGTTTAAATTTTGGCTTGGGTGAAGAAATCTATCCTTTCTCTAGGGTTTTTTACCGTTTTTTTTACGAATAAACCATCATGTAGAGCATATAAGAAGGATTTTGATTAAAGCCTCACAAGTAATCATATCCACAATCACTTTTTTATGGTAAATTTCCTAAGAAAACACAGTATATTTCTATTTCGACCCTGCTCTTGAATCATCCTTTAGAGTACCATGTTGAGTTATGCGCTATCTAGCTAACTTTGTTAATAGGTGCTGGTGTTTTAAAGCTAATTCTGTTTAGCTAACCTAAATTCCTTAAACTAGTCTAAGTGTCTTTTTCGAACTGTTATAGGTTGGTTGGCGAAAAGCTTGGTAAAATCCATAGAATGGAGATTTATATGACTATTCAGAGCTTGACCTCGGAAGATACCTAAATTAAAAGATTTCAGCTTTATCTATCCATTGAACGAATCATCAACAATTATGTAATGGAGTTATTGTTTTGGTGATCTTCCTTAAACTTTTTGAAGAGGACTCTTCCTTGCTTTAGTTAGAAACACTTTCTCAATATAATTAGGGGTCCAAAAAGCATGTATAAGAGAATGTAAACTAGTTTTTCTATCTCGGTGCTCGAGCATGTACCAGCGCTTTGTACCTTTAGTTTTTTTACATTTTAAAGTCTTATCTTGCGCGAGCATTCTTATTATTACGTTGCCCACCGCGAGGTACGCGTCGGTGATCCTTTAATAAAATACATTTTTATCAGCGGGTGCAGATTAGGCTCGTAGTGGGATATTTTGGGCATTTGTCAGTTAGCTATATATTGCAGCTTTCGTAATAGTAAACTCTTTGGTGAATTAACGATTTATGTAAGGACTATCGAAAAGGGCACGAAAAAGATGCCTGCATATGCGTCCAGCACTTTATCCCTTGAGGCTTCCCATTGGCTGCTGTCTAGGGTTGACGATTGGTTTGCCATCCATGGACGGTATGGAATGTAAATGCAATTATAACTGTCTCGGTCGTGTTACCCTCTACTCTTCCGAAGTTTTTATAGCAGATGTTCCTATAAGCTTTCTGACTTTGGTCTTGAGCTAGTTAGTATCCGATTTGATACTTGAGGTACCTTCCTGAGTTCAGCTCCATTATGAGAGTGCGTTTTACTATGGAGAGCTGCAGGTGCTTGACGCACGGGTTGAAAGATCTCTTAAAAATTGGTAAATTCAAGAGGTTGGCTGAAGTCCTAAGGCAGGTGCTACTTCCCTGTGTCTTATGACGTACATTATGTTTAGTAGCCTACTTTGGACTTACATCCTGGCGCCATTGTGCTCGCTCGCTAGAACCGTATATGTAGTGAACTGACTTCTGTAGCATGACATGAATTAAAGCTAAGTAACTTTGATGAAAGGATGCTGACGCATTATATGCTTGCATCACCTTCCGGTATTATATATCCTTATACGTAAGTTAGAAAGATCTAGCAGAGTCTGGGTGAAATCATGGTGATACTAGCTAAGTTACTAATCTAAGCTTTCGTCCAATGCAAGTGGCAAAGTCGAACGCAGAAGAAAGTACTGGGTTAGTAATCAGTGGTGACCAGTAGCACAATGCTTCGTTCCTGAGTCACGAGGGCAGTGAGATACTTGTAACAAAGTGTCTGGCTGTACTTGTGTATCTGATATAGCCTTAAGTGCAGAGTAGATATCTGTGCTTTTGGCTATAGAGGCTAATGGTTATTTACCTAGTATACATATATATACATCGCGCAACTCGCTTACGGCACACAAGTGAAGAACACATGGTTATGCACTCAGAGTACTACAATACCTATTCTATACAAAGGAGCTCTCGTTAACCGTAAAACCTGAGATTTACCATTATAATATACTAATAGAATGCTATTGCGATGCCTCGTAGACAGCCAGTTACGATAAAACTATCAAGGGCTATATTATACTTGCTAATCGCGGCTCTACCTTCTGGTCTCCCTATCTGGTTAAAACCAAATTTAACAGATCATCCTAAAGCTGGATATCTGCCATTATTAAAGTTCTATCAGACACCGTTGCATTACAAAATATAATTAGAGAACCCCTACCTATTTTTGATAAAAAAATTTAATTATACCATAATGCAGACCTAAAAGATATATTGAAAGCGATGATTTAAATTGGGGTGTAAGGCATAACATTATGACCTACCACAATTTAAAGATGAATTATAACAAAAAAGTTGTTTGAAGAAACATATTATTCCACGATGAAAACTCTTAAACTTGATATGATGGATTAACATAATTAAACTTGTTAACTAAAAACCTTATTAAGCTATAACCATTTTAGAGAAAAAATTAAGATAAATAAATTCTAGTCAAGGATTTTGATGAAAAATGTATTGAATATAAATTGAAACAATCTACTGAATAGATCTAAAACTAATTCAAAAAAATTAATACGAAACATGCATTTTATATTTAATTATAAATGCAAATAATATAGAGGGGTGGACTGCTTTCTATAATAAATTTGGATTAAAAAATTTTTTTATTAGCTTTTATCTTTAATTATATATATAGTACTTTACTAGACAAAGTAGTTCAAGGGGATTTTTACTTTTTATAACATTATTTAATTCCTTTTTTTAAATAAATTAATCATTTATTTATTTTTTTTATTTAATGATATGTTTTATCTCTACATTTACTTTGTTTATTAATAAAAAGAACTTAGTAAACTTCATTGACCCACGTGTAATAAAATTGAGCTGATAGTACGTATTGCGAGCATGGCACGCCAGAGGGCTTAGTGTATTAGGATTTATAAGGGCGAGGTTACATACGCGACCATCTACGACCGAAGGAAAGAGCCGCTTAGGTGGGAATCGAGCCCGCTCTTGGGTGTACGCATCAATGATCTTAACCGGTAAGCTACGATGCCAACTCTCGACCCTGTTATGTTGGTTTTACGTATTAAACACGTTATAATGCACCTGTATAAGGTGGCCTGTGCAACGTAATTTTTTTTTTTTCATGATTACTAATCTGCTACGCTAGTGTGATAAATGAGGGAGTTAAATTGCCAAATATATCATTACAAATCTATATTATACAGCAACATAGTCTATAATATCGGCTTATAATACAGAACGTAATAATATAAATTAATATTTAACTAATCAGGATAAACTATCGTAGCTTGGATCTTTGGTAGTTTTTTTAAGTGTATTAGTTGACAAGTTACAAAACCGTGCTTTTCTTTAAAAAGATTTACCTTAAAAAACTCGTAAGGTTTTTAATATGTAGACATTTTAACCAAATAGTTATGTTTAAGAACTTTTCTAAACAATCAAATAGATAATAAAGTCTAACGTTTATCAGTTAACCCGGTATATTCAACTTAATGACCCACTAACTTTTTGTTAAACGGTACACTTTGTTGTACAGTTGGATAGTTAGGTCAGTGATACCCACTACTAAAATTTATGTTTGTTTTGTAGGTTATATGTAACTATAGATTATAACTGGATAACCGTTTTTGTAAGAATGCAAGGGGTATTTGACAATGGTTCAAAATTAGCCAGGACTGAGTTAGGAAGTTTCAAGAGAGTAACGTAAATATTATAATTAGTATGATTGAGGCTTTATAAATATAAGTCGTGAGAAGGGATTACTAAAGGCTAACACACTTGAAGCAGTAATTATATAGGATTCGGGCAAATCTGGTTCAGGAAAACATATTATAGTGATTTTATTTGGTTTGCATGTTATTAGGGTGCAAATTTACTTTTTTGTATATATTAAAAAGTATAAACTAGTTATTTTTAATAATTTTACTTTTACTTTTTTAAAACTAATTCTTATAATAAACCGCCTAATTCAAAAATATTTCCACCCAACCAAGTGTACACTAAACAGCAGAACCACATAGAGGGCAATTGTATTCTTTACAAAATTGTTTCAAGTAACTATATTAGGTGATTTTTGAGGTATGCACATTTGTGTTCATAACATTTTAGGAAGTTAATCTTTAATAAAATTTTTAAAAAAGGAAGATAAAAAAAATTACAAAACTATTTAGCTTAAAATGTTAGAAGAAATACCAAAAAAATGATAAATGAAAAGAAAGTTTTACAACATATTTTATTAATTAGAAGCATAATTTCGTTGTTTTTTCACAAAAAAACAATTTAGATTTTTATGAGTCAATTAAAAGCCATCTTTCATTTATAGTTGTAAACCAGCTTATAATATGGTAACTAAAGATTTTGTAACTTGCTGATTTTACAGACCGTAAGTCCTCGAGAATAGATATGAAACAATACATTTAATAATATAATAATTAGATATATTATAGACTACAACATGATATAATTATGACGAAGAAAAGCTCTGTAGAGATTTGTTTGATAATACAGGGCCCTCTAGGAGCACCAAACAACCTAACAGAAAACAAGAAGAAAGATTAGCCGAGCAGGCATGGGCAATATTTATACCTGCTCATGTTGCCCTCGATTCCTTTATTACATACTAAAAAATTTTGTTCATACCACCAAAAACAGAAAATTAAGTTATTGCCAAAATAAGTAAGCCTTAGATGGCCTATATATTAGTATAAACCATACCAGTCTATTTTAGTTCTTATAACTTACTATACAATTTCAGATGAGCTCACTCTTAAATTCTCGCTTAAAAAAATGGAATCTATTTGGTTTTAGTATATCTGGATATTTTATTTTAAATTATAACTATCAATAAAAAAATGAGTGCTTAATGGGTTAAATCATATTTTTAATACACAACTATTTTATTAATAAAAGGATTTCTAGCTGATTTTATCGTCTGTTTTATGCTTGTTTGTCTTCTCACTGCTTTCCCGACTGTTATCTTTTTTCCAGCATTGCTTTCAATGGGTTTCTCTGGGCTTGAGGTCTCACTTTCTTTGAGCTCTGATAAATTCAAAATTTTCATTCTTTTAATTATAGTTTTCACTTGTGGTGGAAGTGTTTACCTTTTTACTTGGTTTAAAACCCTTTTTTAAAATCTTTTATTGCTTTCAAGGCTTTTGGATTCTAGTAATTTCAAATAAATTTTAAACGATATTATTATAAATACTTTTCATGTAACTATACTTCCCCCTATAAGTAGATATTCCTGCCAGCTTTTTACTACTTTTGGGAGACGAAAAACTATTACGTACGAGGGTGTTATATTGGAATTTCTCTGACACTCTCTCGCTTAGTGATACACTCAGGTTTATATTAAAACTCTCCGAGTCGATTACTAACGTTCCTAATTGCCGGTGCAAATGTCCCCTCCCCATCACTTTTGTTAGTCTTGAAACGGGGCTTTTAAGAGGAGCTAAAAATGGTGTGTTTAAAGTGTGTTTTGTTAACATCAGATTAACAAGACGATCTTAGTTATGTGTAACTACATGGGGAGGGTCATTTTGCTTTGATATAAGGCCATTTAAGTTAATTTTTCAAATAACTAATAGTACTCACCTCAAGCCTTCATCGAGCCACACGTGTTGGCTGGGCTTGGGCCACTGCCTGCTTGCTCTTCTTGTGCTTAAGATATGCTAGCAAGTCCGCCAATCCAGTATGGTCTTTTGAGGGTTATGGCAAGTTAGTTCACCTTACAACTCCATAACAATTGTATTTATAACAATTTATGTATTCAACCAAACGCCACGTGGCCAAATATGGTTGGGAGGTTAAAATAAATTATTGTTCTTCAGTTATATATGTCGACGTTTTTATTAAATTGACGTCTTCTGTGACTTTTGTTATACAAGCGTTTTATCTATTATATTTTGTTATAGGCTCATGGCTGTAATAGGTTCCCTCTCAGCGGGTATATATTTGGCAGTAAGCAATGTATCGTCTGATATTTAACCAATAAACCTATATAAATATTACAGTTTGGCTCATTTATGAAAACAGTTTTTTTCCTGCCCTCAGACCAATAAACGCTAAGCAGTCTTTTTCGAAACTTTCTTGGGTTACCTTGTTACAGCATTTATTAACCAAATCGTATGTTTCATTGCCTTGGTCATAGGTCCTTCCCAGCTTGGCCTATGGATCTCTACAGTTTCTTGTTTTATGGCTCTTCACTAATTACAGTGTTCTCTGCCGATGGGCCGGTGTTGATCCCACCTACTTTGGGCCAGGTTTTTCAATTGTGCTTTTTGTAGCTGCTACTTATAAAATTCTGTGGATAGGAGTTATCTTGACTCTGTTCTTTGGTTTTCTAGCCGGCGGCCTCCCTGCTCTGGTTTTCCCTCTGCACTATATACAAATTTTAGCCATTAGTAAAGTAAATTACTTGGTGGGGCAGTTTTAAGCGAAACGCTACGTCCTGCCTATATACTTTCACATATCTGTTTAGGCCTGCTAATTTTTTTTAATGTGTTACTTTAATATTATAGAGTAATCGATTACGCGCCTTCCTTCACCTTATTTTTGGTTTTACCGGAGGCGCGCTGCTTTATTACGCATCTCCTCTTCTTTCGTACTTGGGGGTGCCCTTTACAATCATGTTACGTTTTTCAAGTTCAATTGTTTTTCTCAGGGTTTAGCTGTAGCTCTATTTGTGGCATCATCGTGGGCGAAGGTTTTAGAGGGCGTTCAGTCTTGGGCTTTATACAAGGGAAGGTTGATAATACTAGTATCTATAATAAAGCTATCTTACACTTTTCATAAAAAAGGTTTTTTCTTTTGGCGCAGTCCTGCCTGCTGTTTTTAGAATTTACAACGGTTTGGAACATAGCTTATATGTTTTTAGGAATAGGTTCTATTATTCACGCTTGCTATAAATATTTTTAAACACCACGTGGTCTGCAGGTGACGCATTTCGGGAAGCTCCCCATTACCCACTCTTTTTTGCCATCCTCGTTCTTGGTTTCAACAACATTTACTCTAGTGTAGAGTGCTCTCCAGAGCCTTCTGGTTAACTATGCGACTTTGCCTTATACTTTCGTCCTCGTTCAAGTTTCCTTTTTTTTTATCGCTACAGGCAACCGTCACAATATTAAAAAGGAAGGCAGCGTAGAGTTGTCCTATCGCTCTTTTTCTTTAGAGGGGCTATTATGGATGACTATTTTCTTTTTGCCCTCATTTATGGCTTCCCTTCTCGTGCGCAGCAGTCCAGCTCTGACTGTATCTAACCCTCATCGTGTTTTTGACAAGAGCGAACGCATTAAGGCTATGGTTGTCTTTGCAAACTGGCGGCGCTTGTAAGCTATAATTTACAGATTGTCGGTCAGGTTTGGAATGTCCACACAGGATATGACAATTATGGATTTGACAACTATGTGAGCGGTGTACGGTTATTACAAGACATGGAGGTTGCGCTATTTATATTTTTTCCTTATAAATTTCCCCAAACAGTTTCGTAAGGCTGGAATAATTGCCATCCTCGAGAGCGACCAGGCTCGCTTAATTACCGACAACCGCGATCAAGTCGAGTACTTTGGTGCATCACTCGGTGCTTTTACTCTATTTTTGCTAACTGCTCCCGTTGTACTATTATAAACTTTTATAAAGGTTTTCCTTATTACCATTATGGCATCAAAACTCGTATGTGCACGTGGGGGTGCGCATTACTATCTCTATATCCAATAGTCAACAACGCCGCGACTGTTCTCCCCTCTCCAAAAGGTGCTTCGTTCTTATGCCTCGGGTCATTTTATAAGTTATTTTATATTATAACTCCTCGTCACAGGAACTAAATCTTGCTTGATTGATGTCGTATTAAACGTGAGTGGATATGAAGTCTCTGTTTTAATTAGGTTAACTATGCATTTTACTCCTCCCATTATTCAGCCTTCTGTGCCAGAGCGTAGCTACCTGGTTTTAGGGTCACAGTAAAAGCGGCCATACTTAGAGATTGAGCCTATAGCGCAGTACGAGGCACGCTTGTCCTCCCTCATGCTTATCATACTACTTGCTCTTAACAGAAATCAGCTCTTCCCTTTAGACTTTAGTCGTTGATATCACTTAATAGTAATATAACTAGTCACTTTTCAACGGAGGAATTTCCCGAAGACTTGGATATGCAGAGCTCAGAACTTGCAAAGATAGCAGGTCTCTAAGCTTTGACGTGTATTATGAATTAAAACAATTTTTTAACTTTGCTCTCCTTTCGGAGAGTGCAATTAGCTGCCAAAACGATGCCTACAATAGTCTTATGCTACATAACAAGTGCCCCGACCTCGGATAAACGGTTTCTGAGTCTTCGGTTAATTACCTCCTTTCGTTAAAGTCTACGTGCTGCCTCTAGCAAACCGCCTCATATGAAGCAAAATTATGAAAAACTTATTAAAGTAGGAGGCTTAAAGGTGCTGAAAACTACCGTACCCTTTACTTATCGGTTAAATATAAAAATTACTTTACGTAGGACCCCGACCCTGAGGACTTTGATAGATGGTGCCAGTATATTTTTTATAAGAACATCCAGTGTTTAAATTTTTACCACGTCAATACCTTGTGAGTGTGCTTGGCATAAAGTTTTTATGGATGTTGTGTTCCTAAAAGTTTATTTCGTTGCCAGCTTTTTATCGGACACGGAGGCTCTTGCTGCTGACTTTTCCCTTAAATTTTCTTGCCATGGTTAGCAACGCTAGCCTAGAAATAGTTTATATATATTGATTTTTCCCACTTAGAGAAGGAAAAGAGTAAATGCCAGACTTCTTATAAACCGGTAGTCGCCAAGGTGTACGACTATGACATTAAACATAGAAAACTGGTATACAAGTACAATAGAAGCAGATTATAAACACCATAAAAAACTTTTTTCTTATAAAAAATTATGATCCCCTGACTTGTGAGGGATAACAAAATATTTATTAAGAAAAAATAAAATACTATGATTTAAATGCCTTCAGGAGATTTTGTCGTTAATGTGCTGGTTACACCCTGCCCTTCCTCGAGAACCGACTCTTTTAAACGGTCTAAAGCTGGCGGCGCCAAAGCAGAGTCGATGCTAAACAGGCTTTCCTCTATACTAAGGCCTCTGTTCTTCTTAACTGCCATGAACGAGTAACAACGTTCGTTTCAAAAACTGAAGATACAATGCGGTGCATATCTAGTCCTTACCCGGACGCCGCGAGAAAGCAATTTCCTTAGTACTAAAGCCGTAACGTTTGAGTTCTTCAATGAGGTAGCTTACTCTATTTGCATCACCTAAAAGCAAGGAAGAGTGGGTGGATAGGTAACGCTGAGCGCTTAATCAACCGGCTACCGGCAGAACTACACCCGCTAAGCATAATAGAAAGGATGATTGCGTCGGGCTCCAAGCCACTCGACTTCATGTTCTCGTATAACTCAAACATTTGACCCACCTTTGACTTTCAGGTAGACCAAAGCGATAAGACAGGCGTGATGAGTCAAAAGATACCGCAGCAAACTTAGCGCAGGCGTTCAGTAAAGTACCTACGAAGTGTAGAGTAGGTTTTTAAGCGCATAGAAGCTATAAAGAAAACTCACCGTAGGTGACACGATCCGGCCTGACGTCGGTGGGCAGAAGAGAGTTTTCGGAAAACTCGAATTGCTCTGTTAACAACAAGAGTACGAGAGAAAATAAGCAAGAGTGAGCACTGCCGGACCCTTGAAAAATAGAAGAGTCTTTTCCAGCTCCGAACGAATAGAGCAGACATTTAAAAGCATGTTAACGACAAACAGGTCGGGGCGGAAGCCGTGATCCTGCAAAAGGGGCCACCCGAGTCACTACCCCTGTCCCATTCGCCCCTCCAATCTCTAGAATAAACCTGCTTTAACGTGTTCAAGAACTCGAAAGCCTTCTCCAAACCAAAAGCCATGCCCTTCGCGTACAAGAGCCCTTTAGAGAGTCGAGCAATGAAAAGAATCGCATGGAGTTAAAAATGAAGACAATACCACTTAAAGTCACGTGATCTGGTTTGGTGGAGCCGTCCTTAAGCATCTGTTCGTAGCATTCCCATGCCGCGTCAAATCTCTTGATCTGTAAGCAGGTCGTGAGAAAAGGAACGCGGCGGCTGAAGCAAGGCAAGGTAAGGGCAAGGGTAAGGGTCGGTTACCCTCGCTGCAGAGAAGATCAGCAGGTTACAAGAGAGTGTGTCGAGCAGGCCATCAGCCTTCATCATTTCAAAAACTTTTTGTGTGTACTGAAAGCTCTGTTTCCTACCAACCGCCAGAAGCGAATGGTAATTGGTTCTGTCCAGCTTGTAACCTGCACCAACACAAATTGCGTTTTTCATAATATTCGCAACGAATATCCATAACCGTCGCGCAGCAACTCGAGAGATATGCGTTTAGCTTCTTCTAAATCTTCAGCAACATAGCAGCAGTAAAGCAGAGCCCTGTACACCGCTGGACTTCTTTTGTCTGTCAGCTGCAAGCCGCAGAGAATATGGTTATTAGCCATAAAGAAAAAAAGGAGGGCGAAGTACAGCATCGATTTCAGCAAGAATATTAAGTGCAAATTTGATATCGCCCGACCGAGCTACGGTGGCCAGGTATATTTCGTAGGTCCTCAAACTGTTGAGCACCGTACAAAGAAGCTATGAATAAACGAGCATGCGCTCAACAGGAAGGAAGCACCTCAGTTTCACGCCCCGCTGCTTCATAGTTTGGACGAGGTCAACAGCCTCTTTTAGATTGCCCTCTTCTTTTAAAACCTCCATGAAGGCGTCGTGTAAGCTAAAAGGGGACGGATCAACGCGAAACAACTTTTAGGTAGCAGGTGTAGTGAAGAGTGTCTGCAATGCCCAATGACTGCATCTCATTCAGCAACAGAAGTAGTTTCTCTAGCAAATGGATAAAAAGGTACTGAGTCAGTTCACCCTATAATAGACCTTACCTTTATCGTGAACGCCACAAGCCTCCATCAGCAAAGTGTAGGTTACAACGCTCGGTTTAACTCCAGACTTCTAAAGAATAATAGAAAGTTGACTTTCATAATTATATTTACAAAAACGACTGGCCTTCATGAAGTCAAACAGGAGGAGAGCGTCTTGAACGCGACCATTCCTGCAAACTGCACCATTACAAAACGCTAATAAAAAAGAGAAAAGAGGGAGCAGCCACGAGGAAAAACCTGCATTGAAGAACTGAGTCCAGAGGCTGGAGTCTGGTTTGACGCCTTGGTCTATAGCATCGTTCAGTATAGCCAACGCGCCTATCAGGTGTTCGTGTTACTGAACCGAAGCTACCAGCGCGGCCTTAAGCTAACTGTAGACCTTTCATATCTCCATATTGAACCAAAGCAACACAATAGGAGAACATGTGGCTTGTCAAAGGTTTCTTACCACGTAATTTAAGGCCTTTCTAATAAATATGAACCAGTGACGTGAAAGGTGTTTTTTTTATATTTCCACCTTCAAAGATTTTCTTGACTAGCTCTGGTGAACCCAACTCTCCGCAACGAATAATTGCGGGGTTTAAACAGAACAAGGGAGGTAGATTATCCAGCTGGAAGTACTGAAGCAGAGCAGTCGAGAGATCCGAAAGGCGAGTAACGGCTTATATATAAATGAACAAAAAGTACTCCGATTATAAAGAAATTTTAGCGAAAAGTTCTATTGGTTACCTTTAAAATAATTGAACCAGTCAATAAGTGGAGCCGTATCGTCATTTATAACGGTAATTGGATCCAAGCGCCTAACTATCAGAGAAATAGCCTTAGTATTATTAGAAATATCAATATTATTATTCTTTATTACTATTAATATTATTAGTATTTATCGACTACCGCTATTCTTACATACCCATCTTTTTTTCTTCATCCAATTGCAAATGAGAGGAGCCTTTAATAACTTCCACTAAAATTTCTTGATCTACGTTAAGTTTTTTTATAAAATCCAGTTCCAAGACCTGTTAAAGAAATATAATATATATGCTCTTAAAAAATGAATGCGAGAAGGAAAAAATACGATAAAATAAAACCAATGCCAATAAATAACTTACTTAAAATAAATACTAAACAAATAAGTTTTAAAACAAAAAAAGTATTATAACTTTCTTATCTAACCATGTTTTAGTTATAAAATAAAGTCAACATAAGATGTGTAAAAGAAAAGGTTACCTCTTTTAGAGGAATATAGGAATAAAAGCTACTTTTGTTCATTTTGGCAAGGTTAAGGTCACTAAAACTAAATTCAACATAAGTTTTAATATAATCCAGGGAACTGCTTCGCTCTCCGCTTATAGGTCTAAACTGAGAGTCAATTTCTATAGCTGAACGAAGAGAGTCTTCAACAGGTTTTATATTACAATTTAAAACGTTAGGCTTTTTCTTTTCTGATTCACTATCCTCACTTCCCTGTAAGGTTTTAGCAGGAGCCTCCAATTTTATTACTTCTTCATTCAAAGCTTTTCCCTCTAATTTGGTTTCAGTTATGTGTTTCTTGAAGACAGAGATCAAGGCTAGCTTTGGTGCTAACTTGGCAATCCGAGGAAAAAATAGTGTAGTAAGGGGCATTTACAGTGATGAAAAAGTAATTTTTAACGAAAAGAGCGAACTTCAAGAATAACTAGTAATGCGAGCCCATTAGTTTTTTCAGTGGCTAACTTTATAGTAACGCCTTGCTGAAGCACGCGTTTAAAGCGAGCTGATATATGTTGTGGATGGATTCCGTTAGTCTTGTTAAAAATGATTTGGTGACATTATATTAATTATTTTTAACTAATTATTAAAATTCAGCAAATTTTTTTTACAACTTAAAATGACCTATTTTTAGGGCTTTTAAAAAGGATAATTAATACTGATACCTGACATTCAAAAATGAGAGGCCTTATTTTACTTTTACCACCGAAGGTTATTGTAAATCTTTAATCAGGCAAACTTTTTAACCTTTCGTTTATACTGTTTAACACCTTATCTAATTTATGATTTAGTTTAAACGTCACTCATTTTTAAGCAACACCGGTTTTTGGAAAGTAAACGCTAGCTCGAGGGCTAGGTATTTTACTTGCAGAACGCGCCGTGGTTAGAAATTAGATATATGTAAACAATAAAAAGTTAAAAAAAATTAAATAAAATCTAAGCATTAATTTTTTATTTGGTATTAACTCCTTTTTAACATTTATTGAAACTCGTTATCAAATTATTATTAGTACAAGGATAGCAGCGCGACTTAAAGCTTATAATGAAACAATCATTTTAATTATTGAAATGAGGTTTAGCGAAGTCCCCAACGTTTAAGTTTGTACTAATATGAAACTAACATTTTTAACTCTTTATAAACAATAAATTTTTTAGTTAACTAATATTAAACAAGCGCAAGTAAACCATTAAATCCTACTACAAAGAGGTTTTAAAACCATTTTAACAGTATTAGGGAGTGTGTCTTTTAAAGTCAGAATGGGGACCCTTAACTTTAGGGGAAGTAAATCATTTATTATAGTGTGTCCTAACAGTTAAGAAGTATATGCAGGGAGTTTTTATTTTATTGAAAACATCAGGTTTATTACATTTGTGAAGATAAAAGGAACCTAAAAGCTCAAGTTATATAATTTTTAGCTCTAGACTGTTCATATTTATAACCACCCAAATTAGTTTCGTTCAAGAAGAACCCACTTTATTTCTCAATTATTCTTTTCTTAGAGAGATGGCCTAGCAAAAGGTAGGGTTAGTTTGCCTTTTAATTGGTTTAATAATGGGGTAAACTGTGTACCTCTATGAGCTGGCTTTTACTTTATTAGACATAGGGGAATATGGAACTATGAAAATCCGTTTAATTAATTTTTTATAATAATTAAGGCAGCTGCTCGGTAAGTTCGAGCGCAGACTGCTTAGTTAGGCTAATAATACAGAGTATTAGGTGAAGTTCGTATTTGGTTTTCGCCACCTATCGCATCAAGTTATATATACTATATGTGGAGAGGCATGTACAAACTATAAGTATGCTTCAAAGGGCATAACGGGGCCAACCGAAGCGTGTGCCTTCCCAGGGTTTGTATGTAAGTTCTTGCCTCTGGTGGTTTTGATGCTTACAAACACCAAAAAAGACAGTAGGTGCATTAATGAAAAAGAGCTAAGGTCGTTTTAAACTCAGGTCGTCGTGCAGCGTGTCATTATACACCAAGTAAGGTGAGCAGTCATTAGCCGCAGCTTAATTTGCTCTTTGATTCTCGTAAATTTAATGAAGATTTTCTTAAATTTGGCAGATGTGCTTGCAGAATATTTGTTGCCTAATTTGGATATCGTGCCCTATTGTGGTGGTGCATCCGACCTCTTTGGATTTGAATTTCGTTGTGTTTGTTTACTTTCTTCTTTTTTAGCTTTGTAGAAACACATTTCGCATTACTTATTACTAAATGGTCAGATGTTGGGCATCAAGTGTTTCAGTTGTCTGTAATTTGCATGACCGTAGATATAGTGTTCAGGAGGGATCGCACTGTTATTTTTTAACATCGTCATGTTTAAAGATAGTCTTAAGTGAGTAATTAGTATTATTGTGTGGTGTTTCGATAATGTTAAGGTCATTTTTCGTCGACCTTCTAATACTGTCTCCGTTGGTTAATGTTATTGTTACCGTTCGGTTATTAAAAGTGGGTGTGTATCCGCTTTCGTTTAGTTTGGCGGAAAAAGATGCTATTGACCATTAATACAAAACTTAGGTACATTAAAAAAAATTTATTATTGAAGTTAAATTATTTCAGCTGAGAGGAGGGGTCTATTACCGTAGTCGACAGCTCTACCGAAGTGCAAGGAAGCTGAAGCGGATCAGGCTTGAAAGAACTTCTCATTAAAGCCATGCTACATGATATTCTCTCGAGAATAATTAAATTAGCAGGAAAAACTCACCCCATTAAAGAACAACCCTATTGGGTTCGTTTTCATTACTTGTACTACTCACGAGAATTAAACCCATCACTTAGACTGCTAAAATCTACGCGTATACCTTTTTGCCTAAGTAGTAAAGTTAGATTTGGTAAAACTAGGAATCAAACCTAGTATGCATAAAGAAAGTTTTACAAAAACTCCTTAAACCGTTTATGTTACTTACCATTAAATGAAAGTTATATTTTAGCGTTCAAAAGAAGAGATGCAAAGGTTTTACTTTAGCATCACGAAAAACTAGCACCCTAGAAACGATAGCTAACTAGCTTGTTCTAGTAAGGTAAAGATATTTTTACCTTTCAGCCTTAGGGGAGACAACTTGCAATGTTGTTTCGTAGTCTAGTTTTCTCCCCTGCAACGCAACCTATGAAACCGATTCAAGGGTACAAGGAATTTTTTTGTAACTACGGGCACTGGATACTCTGTTAGCCCTCTACAAGGTATTAACGACGAATCTATGCTTACTCACCTTTTGAGTTAGTGCGCTATCGTCATACCTTCGACAGACAGCTGGTTGTCCGCAGTACTCTCTTTCTCCAGCCCTTCGCTCTGTACAAGCGGACACTCCACTTTCTGCAAATCCCCCACATTCGCGTCGCACTCTAGGCCGATGACGCCGCCATTTACGCGCCCCCTAAGAACCTTTACTATTACAACAACATCTACAACGCTACCTGGAAACATTTGCTAACTGGTGCGGGCAGTGAGGAGAGAGGAAAGGAAAGCAGTTCTCATTTTAAAAAGATCGTTACACTACTCACATCTAAACCCTGGAAGGTGTGCTGTCTAATAGGGCTCTTAGGCCAACTTATTTTTTGCGACTTGCAACCCATGCTCTTTATGCACTATTGTGAGAAAAATTTTTATACTGGATCTGCAGAATAATTTAATTAAAAACCTTCGTCGACTGCACTCCTGCAGACGCAACAAAACAAGCATCGTCAAATTAGGGTTTAATCATTGTACACAAAAGGTATATCCCGAAGAGACATCTCAAACACAAGCAAAAGCCAGCACTTTTTGTAGAGATCAGAGTCGATAACGGCCCAGCAGTCATTAACTATGAACTTATCGACGGCTTAATCAAATTGTCGCCCTCAGTGCCACCACGCCAAAAGACTGTTATCAGTACATGATCAGTGAGCCATGCATTCAAACACTAAGCAACATGACAAGAAGCACCTCAAACCAGCAAGGCTGGGTCTTCAATACTGGGATGAAGCAATGACAGATGCAATTTTTATAACAAACACACCCACAAACGATGAAAACCTAACCCCCAGCCAAATATTTGTAATTAAAGAGAGAAATATTAATCACTATAAACTCCTTGGATGTAAGGTTTTGATCATTAACCCAGAACACAAAACCAAATCATTACTGATGTGATGCCCTATATACCTTATAGCACAGCAGATGAATATAGAATCCTTAACCTAAAGACAGGAAAAAGATAATTAAATCAAGAAACATAGCATGCTTTGGACGTATATCCCTTAAAATATAAAATAAAGACGATACTATGGAATAACATAAAAAAAAAATTGGTAAAATATAAACGGCCTATGCACTTATTAATTAAATCCTCATAAACCCTTTGTTAATGACCCTATTATATGACCGCCTGTGCAGCATACGAAACAGGGAAAAGAAGAAGTACAGATTGAAAACAACGAGAAAAGCATAAAGAAAAACATAGATCAAACAACAGATACTACGACCCCAAATAAAGTACAAAGTGGTGAGGAGGAAGAAAACAATATACGGCATATTAAAAGAAAATCATTTGCAGCAAACAAGCACATGTGACAATAGCCACTTCACTACTCCATCGCAGGATATCTAAGAGGATAAGATCCCTAGAACTAAAAGCAAAAGCATCCAGAAAAGTTTGACCAAAACTAAGGACATTCGAATTAGAGGAATTCACAATAACAAACCCGAAAACGGTTGACGAAGACACAACTCAAGGACATCTAAATCATGACACTAAACAACTACACCTAAATAACGCCAAATTTACCATACAACACCAACTATGGCAAACAACTAAAACTATACGAAGAGCCAACTGTCCTTGAACAAGAAAAAACCCGAAATATTATCACAGTTCAAAATAATAAACAACCTAAGCAAGAAGAGTGATTATTAGTCATCGAAGATATAAATCACAATAAAGCCTTAGACACACTCACATAGAAAACTAAAGAAGAATTACTCACCACCATCAACACTAAAAATCAAGACACACAAGACCCAGACATAAACCTATACAAAGAAAAAAATTGAATACTGGTTATCGAATATGTTAACCAAATAAAGTACAAGAAAGGAAACGAGTTAGAATAGAAGAACCTACCATAGGCGATGAACTCGAGATGATAGTTGAAACTAGTATAAAATCCTCTCTATTAACTACAATGAAGCCTTGATGGAGCTTGATCAGGAAGACCACGAACAGGCGGCCATTTCTGGATTTAACTCAATTATTAGTCACAAAGGGGTTGCAATCATTGGCACTGTGAACTACCAGAAGGCGCTAACGGACTATCAACTACATGGAAATTACGCATAAAACATAACAAAAGATATAAAGGAGGACTAAATGCGAGGGGATATAAGCAAGGAATGGGCGTGAACTGTCACAAAACCAAATCTCCTGTTCTC